ACTAGACATGGGGAGGCTGCGTTTCAGATTCATGCAGCTAGAGTCTGGAACCGTCTTCCCGAGAGTGTGAGACAGGCGTCTACTCTAGCAGTTTTTAAAACTGAACTGAAAACAGTTCTTTTTAGCTGTGCATACAAGTAAATGATTTTACATTTGTTTTTATCTTTAATCTTTTTAATGCGCTATGATTATTTATGATTATTTATGATTGTAATCCCTTGTGTGATTTTAATTTTTTACGGTTTTTAACTACTTGTGTGATTTTATATATCTTGTGCTCTTAATCTGTCTTTTTATGTTTACTTAAATTCTAATGTTTGATGATTTATGCATGATGTTATATGGGTTGTGAGGCGCTTTGCGTTGCCTTGTGTAGGAAAGGCGCTCTATAAATAAACGTTGATTGATTGATTGATATAAATAAAAACTTACTTACTACTTACTTACTAATACAGTTACTTTCTGATAATGCTTTCTTGCATTCCATTTTAAGGTTAAAACAACAAAAGAAAACTTTGGGTATTATCAAAGTAAAGATTCTATTTTTTCTGGTCGTTAAATGGCAGCTGTTGAAGCACTTTGACTTGTTTTACAAAAATATACAACAAATTGTAGAATAATTATAAAATATATTTTCTTAATTTAAACATTGATAAACGTTTTAAATATTTAGAAATGTATCTTTTAAAAGTTTTGTAAATAAACATGAATTCATATAAATAATACAAAAATAATGATTAAAACTATAAATAGAAGTATTCGGAATACAGGTACTACTTTTTCCAAAGTAACGGAATACTATGCAAAATACATTTTAGGTCATGTATTGAGTATTCTGGAACAGTATTCTATCCAACAGTACTCCTACAATCACACTGGTCTTGAAGTGTGCATTGCAATGTTGAAATGTCAGTAATAGACCTGACCTGTGCTCCTGTTGGCTCTTAGTACTGTAGTATTAGTACTTTTGGATACTCTAAAACAGCAGGAATGCAGCAGGAGTGCAGCAGGAGTACAGCAGGAGTGCAGCAGTACAGAGCCGGCCTCTCCGTGGGTGGCTGTCATGTTGGCTGTGGGCTTGTTGGCAGTTTCCTCGCTGAACATCTGACTCGACTGTTACCATAGAAATGGCGATGTGTGATATTTGGATGCCTGGGTAAACACAGCACAAAGTCACCAGGGAGTGAAGTTCCATACAAGGCACTTCCTCACTCTGCTGCTGCGCTAAGTATGGATGCACCGATACAGATTTTTCATGTTTTTTTCAAAGGCGAAATGAACTGATATGAATGAAAGGACAGAAAATGGGAATATTTCCCTCTTCAAATCAAAGATAAGGTGGTTGTAATTGTGTCATTTATTCTGAAGATGAGGGACTGCTGCACACTGACTTTTTAATCACTGGAACTGTGCAGGGCATAAGTGGGGTACTCTTGGCTGAACTGAAAGCCACTAAAAAGATTGGTGCTATGAGATGGAAGCCCCCTCACTCATTGTCTCTCTAGGGATTGGTACCAAAACCCTTATTGGACCTCCATCCATCCATTTTCTTCCGCTTCATCCGTTGCCGGGTCGCGGGGGCAGTAGTCTAAGTAGAGATGCCCAAACATCCCTATCTACACACACTTCCTCCAGCTCGTCCGGGGGTCCCCAAGGCGTTCCTAGGCCTGCTGAGAGACACAAGGAGGAGACTCCCTTTGGCTTGTGCTTGTGAGAAGACGTTGGGCACCGACTTCCTGCTGTCTCTATGGAGATTTTTTGATCCAGTCTTAAAGTAGTACTAGAATTTACCATACTGCTATCCAGAACATATAACTGCAATATGTGTTTATAATATTTCGGGTGTTCATTTTGACATGTTCAGATGAATTATGTTAAAAGAACGGCTTCGAAGTAGCACTTTTTCACTTCCGTATAGAAACGCTAGGGGGCGCCAAAATGGCAGCGATGACGTAGGACAGGGGTGCTCACACTTTTTCAGCATGCGAGCTACTTATAAAAGGATCAAGTCAAAATGATCTACCTACTAAAAAAATGCAAATCATATATTTCAAAAAATATTCTTTATATCTACAATGTATGTTTATGTACATGCAAAACCGCATGAGCCAATATAGCACAACACAACACAATTACCTATGTACATTTTTTGTCATTACCCGAGTTTACTCTTATGACTTGCACTGAATTGAATCGGCCAGGGATGCATAGTCCGGAAAATTGGTGGTAACTCGCTGACAAGTTTGTCGTGGTTTAGCTTTCCTGCACTGAGCGCGGTTGTTTGCGCATGTGCAGTCACCTAAGTGTCAGTAAAACATTACTGAGTAAAACACAGATGTCATTTGACTGTGGTGCCATGTCCATGTGCCATGCCTGTTTTTTTTAAATCCAAATATTTCCCGTCCTCCGTTTATAAAATAATTTGCATCCACACATCTGCGTTATCAATCACATTCGTAACATTCCAAACATGTGCGTCTCTTACGTCCTGTCCTGCGTTGGGGAAAAAACAGAAGTGGGCGGAGTTCTGATGCAGACGCCGGTAACGGCCCTTTTACAGTCATAGAAGACACTCAGAGTAAAGAGCAAGACGTATGTTTACAAGCACTGACCCCGTCCTCAGCCCTGGTTTAGTCCTGGTTTAGTCCTGGTTTGGTTGTTTTCGAGCGTGAGTCCCCGCGATCACTTTGCTGCTCTGGAGCGAGGATGTTCGCTGCTGCGAGCATCTCACAGCGAACAGTTTTTAAGGTAGTATGATCCATGCTTCAGTGATCAGAGGAATTTAGGGGGGTACTGTGGCGTGCGAGAACGCAAAACTCTGGTTATCTCTGTCTACACACAAATGCATTAACAGAGTTTTCAAAAATCTCCACTTTGCCCGGAGTTTTTTGTATATATTCGTTTAGAATGTGTAATTTTTTATTTATTTAATGCGATCTACCAATACTACCTTTGCAATCGACTGGTAGATCGCGATCGACGTATTGAGCACCCCTGACGTAGGAGAATGATCCTTCACAGCAGTTATGGCTGGAATCTGTATGAGCAGTGAGTTAAGAGATGATGTTTGGGGAAGAATCAGAGGTTTCACTGTCATCTGTACAAGGTATAAACATACTTTCATCAGTTTTGTACATTATAGTGTTCAACTCTTTTAACCTTTTAGCCTTATTTGTGAGATTCAAGATAATTACTTGGCCTAACGGTCCCCAGTGTTGGGCAAGTTTGCTAGCTGTTACTTGAAATCAAGATATCCTAAAACATGCTTACAAGGCTAATATTTGTTTTTACATTATGCCAGTCTCATTTTGGTTGCTTTTGATTTATTTACCACAATGTACATCGTTTTTTCAATGATTGCATCACATGTATCATGTTAGCTCTTGTGTCTGTGTTTTCAACTTCATCAGCTTTTTGTTCATAAAAGTAAAATATTTATTTAATTCAAGTTATTTTGATTAGCATGTATCGATATTACAATGTACATTGAAACCTCTGATTCTTCCCCAAACATCATCTCTTAAAGGACAACTCACCCTCAAATCCACTTTTTTTTGCTGATAAACGGTATAAATGAGTGTCCAATAGTGTTGTCTACATATCCTGGTCATAATCTTGTCACTTTGGTGCAAATTAGTTGAAAGTTAGACTTTCTGCCTAAAACCGTCTGTGAGGCGCCATCTGCTGGCGACCTGTATTACTACATTTGAATTTTGAATCTGGCGCCAACACTGGCACAGAAGTTGGACCTGACGTCTGCAAGTTGGACCTGACGTCAGCAGCCCCCCGCCCAGAGCAATGTAAACGGCCCAGTCTCGTTCACGCCCCCTTCAGTCCTCCAGGCTACGCCCATTTAGAGGAAGATTTGAACAGGAAATGTGAGTAACGTAAGCTCCGAGGAGCGGGGGTGAGAACCACTTTAACTCACTGCTCATACAGATTCCAGCCATGACTGCTGTGAAGGATCATTCTCCTACGTCATCGCTGCAATGTTGGCGCCCCCTAGCGTTTGTGGAGAAGTGCAACTTCAAAGCTGTTTTTTTAACATAATTCATCTGAACATGTCAAAATGAACACCCGAAATATTATAAACACATTTTGTAGTTATATATTCTGGTTAGCAGTATGGTAAATTCTACTTTAAATACAATGAGTTGCAGTAGATTGCTTTTTCAGTCTTTTTGCGAGAGGAATGCGTTAATTTTAGAAATGAGCCCAAGCTGAAATCACTTGCCTTTACAACTCTACTGTGTCTTCTGTTTTTCAAACGTAATTAATGCGTCAAAAATGACACCAAGATTGTTTATGACACCTCCATGAAGAGGGCCAATTACTTGGGTTTCGGCTGAAGTACGAAACCCAATGATTTCTGATATTTTTACTTAGGTAGTAGTGTGTGGAAATCCAGCTTTGGTCATCAAAACATGAGCCACGTGGCTTTCATTCAAAATACGTAGGAAGTTTTCTTGTACTGGGATGTACAGGGGCAGGAGCAGCAGCCGCAGGTTTTTATGTGCATTGAAAAAATATTTGTATATATATATATATATATATATATATATATATTACACATCCTTCCTGTGAGTGGGCTTGCATCTGCAGAAGCCTGACTCACTTGACTTGTGCTGGAGCAGGCCCTTCTCCTGCTTGTCTCCATGGATACACTGTTCTTTTTGCTGTAATCTTCCACAGTGTGGCATTAACTATCAACATCTCTAGTGCTATATGAATCATGCTTTTAATGTACATTTGTAGAATGTTCCTGGAGCAAGTTATTAATGACCTTTCAACACTTTGTTAATTTATCTATTTATGTTCACATCACCAATACAATGCATTTTGAGTATGTCTTTGAAATGTATGAAAGATTGACTCCCTGAAAAGCTCTGCAAAGCTTATAAACGCGTGCTCACAACTTAGGGGGGAGATCTATGGCACGGACTGTATGTTAAACACAACCTAAAAGTCATATTATTTAATGTTATCTCTGTTTGTGTCAGAATAAAGACAGAGAGTCCAAGGAGAGGAGAGCGCGGGCCGCCAGCAGCACACACCTATTCACATCCATGACCGTCTCAGGGACCACCATGTGTTCAGCCTGCAGCAAACGCATCACGGCCAAGGAGGCCCTCAACTGTGCATGTGAGTTCTCTCCTGTTCTCTCCTGCACCTATAGCATGCCACATGACATGCTATAGGTGCATGTCATGTGGCACCTATAGCACCTGTGCATGTCAGTGCTCTCCTGTATGTGGCACCTATAGCACCTGTGCATGTCAGTGCTCTCCTGTATGTGGCACCTATAGCACCTGTGCATGTCAGTGCTCTCCTGTATGTGGCACCTATAGCACCTGTGCATGTCAGTGCTCTCCTGTATGTGGCACATATAGCACCTGTGCATGTCAGTACTCTCCTGCATGTGGCACCTATAGCACCTGTGCATGTCAGTACTCTCCTGCATGTGGCACCTATAGCACCTGTGCATGTCAGTGCTCTCATGTATGTTAAGCACATATATCACCTGTGCTTGTCAGTACTCTCCTGTATGTAGCACCTGTGCATGTCAGTGCTCTCCTATATGTGTCACCTATAGCACCTGTGCTTTCCAGTGCTCTCCTGTATGTGGCACCTATAGCACGTGTGCATGTCAGTGCTCTCCTGTATGTGGCACATATAACACCTGTGCATGTCAGTGCTCTCCTGTAAGTGGCACATGTAGCACCTGTGCATGTCAGTGCTCTCCTGTAAGTGGCACCTATAGCACCTGTGCTTGTCAGTACTCTCATGTATGTTTAGCACATATATCAATCAATCAATCAATCAAACTTTATTTATAAAGCGCTTTTCATACAATAAAATGCAACACAAAGTGCTTTACAGCTGAGTCGAAAATCAATACAACATGCCCAATAAACCCCGAAGACCCACCCATAAACCCCCCTAGTTATTAGATATACATTGAGATGCATATACCCGTACACACGCACACACGCATACACACACACTCACAGCTACCTAATATTAACGATAAAAAGAGTAAAACAGCTACCTAATATTAAGTGACAAAACAGAATACGTAAAATTAAATAAATAAATAAGAACAAAAATAAGATCTGTCTAAAACATAATAAATACTAATCAAAAGCTAATCTAAAAAGGTGCGTCTTGAGCCTGCTTTTAAAAAAATGAACGTTCTCTGCGGCCCTGAGCTCTTCCGGCAGACTGTTCCAGAGACGGGGGCCGTAGTGCTGGAAAGATGCCTCGCCGTGAGTGTGTGTCCTGACTTTGGGAATGGTTAGGAGTCTGCTGCCAGAGGAGACCAGGGGCCGGGAAGGTTCATAGGATAAAGGCAGCTCTGAAAGATGAGAAGGCCCAAGACCATTAAGACATTTAAAGACCATTAAAATAACCTTAAAATCGATCCTGAAACACACGGGGAACCAGTGCAGCAATTTTAAAACCAGTGTAATGTGGTCCCGCCCCCTGGTCTTAGTCAGGACACGTGCTACCGATTTTTGAAGTAATTGTAAACCTGAAATGTTCTTTTTGTGAAGACCAGAGAGCAGGGCATTACAGTAGTCAATGCGACTGGTGATAAAAGCATGCATCAGCGTCTCCGTGTTGCCCCGAGAGACAATGGGGCGGACTCTGGCGATGTTCTTTAAATGATAAAAACCTATTTTTGTGATGTTCTTAATGTGAGGAATAAAAGTCAGCTCAGAGTCAAAGATTACGCCCAGGTTTCTCACTTGTGATGATGGATTAAAAGAGTGTGAATGGAGTTTTGGTAAAAGTTTCTCTCTCTGGGCCTCAGGACCGATGACTAAAATCTCAGTTTTGTCCTGGTTGAGCTGGAGAATGTTTTCTGCCATCCAGAATTTCAGGTCTATAATGCAGTTAAAAAGAGCATCCATTGGCCTGGTGTCATCAGGAGACATGGAGATGTACAGCTGTGTATCATCTGCATAACTGTGGAAGTTAAGTCCATGTCTCCTGATGACACCGCCAAGAGGGAGCATGTACAGGTTAAAAAGGACTGGACCTAAAATGGAACCCTGGGGCACACCACATTTGATTTTATGGACCTATCACCTGTGCTTGTCAGTACTCTCCTGTATGTAGCAACTATAGCACCTGTGCATGTTAGTGCTCTCATTTATGTGGCACCTATAGCACCTGTGCTTTCCAGTGCTCTCCTGTCTGTAGCACCTATAGCACAGTTAGAGAGGCAGTGTAGTTTAAATGTAGCCACATTAAAACACTTGCATTATCTTTATATTGTTTTTTTCTGAAATAAATCCACATACATTTCAAGCTTTTAAAACCATTAGAGAATGATAACATAGAGGGGTGTTTTATTCGCGGAGGTGTTAATCTCACAATAACACCACATGTTTCTGCAGAGGATGTGCATCACTTAAGCTTAGCTTGCATTACTGTTTTCTATTCTAAGTGTTTTTTGCCTGCTGCAGTAATAAGGTTGTTTTTGTTTCAGTGTGTGGCATCACAGTGCACAGCCACTGTCAGGACGGCTGCCTGGACTGCTCCAAAACCAAGCACAGGGTGAGGATGGATCAATGGATGGGGTCAGGTCCACTTTAAACCACCTTCAAAATAAATCATATCATATTATACATATTATATACATACATATATATATATATGTGTATATGCCAAAATGTAACATATTGAGGACAGAAGGAGAGGCTTTAAGTAGACTACCAGTAATGGGAGCACAATTAAAAAGGTCTGATAGTTCACTTATTTCAGCAGGACATTTATTACGTGGGAGTATTATTATCGAGCATGTTGCTTTTTTGCACTGGCCCTTTTTCAAACACATCATACCCAGAATTAACACGCTTCAAACTTTGGAACGGCTGAATGAGTTTGGTTGTTTTTCCTTTATTTTCAGCCTAAAACTGCAGTAATTAACACCTCCGTGCAAAACGAGGCAGTGAAGCCTAAAGGTAACTGTCATCATGAGTGCGTCCACATGTGAGTGACGAGTGTTGTAACGCTGTTGTCCTGCTGAAGCCCGCAGGCTTCCGGAGAGGCCCAGCTCTGCCATCTACGCTTCAGACAGCTTCCGCCGCTCCATCCTGGGCTCCTGTCGTGGGCGGGGTTTATCTCTCTCCAAAAGCGTCTCCTCCAATAATATTGTCGGGTAAGTCAACACGTTTTCCACTCAAGTGGATAGTTTGCCTCCTCCTCACTTTTCCAGCAACCACTACTGTACTAATGCAATGCCCGTGGATGATCCATTCCTGTAGTGGGAGGGAGCAATTTATAGAATAACGATGGATTTCAAATAAAAAAAAGTGCATGATGATGAGAGACACAAATAATTTTTTTTTTTTTTAGATCTATGTGAAAATGTCCTATTGAATTTAGTCAGCAGTTGTCCACCGCCATTCCAGTGTGCCGGGCATAAAGCTAGCAATACCCTATCCAGAAAATATAATACACACATGGCTCCATTAAAATGCACGCTAAGCTAGCGCCTTAGCATCGGCTGTTTGTGCAGAAAATAAAGCCGCTCACTTATGGTGCTTTCAGACCGCCAACGCTGAAACGCACGTTCTCTAGTTTTCAGACGCAGGGGCCTTCAGACCAGAGGTTCTGGCGCGCGCCGGAAGTAGCCGGCGGACTCTGATGCTAACAGAGTTTAGCTAGCGGCTTCTTGTGTACAGATCTTTTCCAATAATGCAGCTCTGCAGACTTTATATAACAGTCGTATGTGTTCACGGAGGTGCGCAATAAGTTTATTTTATTATTAAACGGTACTTCCGGATCGACGAACACATTCAAAGCAGTTGCATAATGTCACGGCATGAAAACTCACATGTTAACAAGCACACAGTCCCCCATTGTCAACTGTTTATGAGTATATTCAGTCTGCTCGCTCAGACCGCTAATGTCCCCGTGACCACTTTGCGGCTCTCTGGTTGCTGCACGAACGTCCCGAGGAAAGGTTGAGCAAAATTCATCTCCTGCGGTCCTCCCCTTCGACTTCCCCGCGCAGTCCGTGCATGCATTCCAAGACGCTCAAACGCGCATCACCATTGACTTTGCATTGAAAGCCGACGCAACGCATGATCCGGTCTGAACGCGGCTTTAGTCAAAAACTGAATTTACCTGGAAGTTATGTAGTACATATTTTCTTCCTCTTGATTCCTGTAGTAATAAAATTTAACAGTACGTCATCAATGTGCATACACTAAATTAATCTTGTATTTCTTTGGTTTTGAGATGATAAACTCTTAAAATCTTTTAAAACTTTGGCAAGAAACTGCCTGGAAAAGGTGGTCCTCACTTTGATAGTGAAATGACTCAGTCCTCATGTCTATGCCTAAACAAAAGTGTTTGTGTGTGTGAACGTATGCACGGGCGTGCATGCGTATAGGTTTCTAAGTGAGGAGTCTTCTCTGGGACTGCGACGGATCCTGTCTCAGTCCACAGACTCTCTGATCTTCAGGTCCAGAGCTCTGTCAGTAGAGTCCTTGAGCGATGACGGAGGTATGGCTTAGTCTCACACAGTTCGCCGTGTCTAATACACAGCTATTCCCCCCACTCTAACAAATAGGGATAATAAACTTTTACTTATAGATTCACTGAGAGGTTTAACTGTAAAGATAATTAAAAAAATACATAAACATTAATCTAATGCATGTTCATCACATTTGAGTCAATTCATTTGTATGCAGTTCTCTTCTATTGGTTGATATTTCAGTCTTTTAGACAATAAATGAAATACAAAAGCTTGAACTCTTTTCTGTGTGTATACACTTGGATAGAGGCTCAATATAGCAATGCGCTGGAGGACACAGAGGTTGAGGCTCAGCACTTCACAGCAGACTCCTGGAGCCTGGCCGTGGAGAGAAGCTACTTGCACAAGCACCACCGAGCCGTCATCAAGAGACAAGACGTGATCTACGGTAAGACAGTCCAGTCCAGTGTCTGGGGATGATTCATACCTCCCTTATCAACTTATTGCCCAAAAGTCACAGTTATAATAATTTTAAAATACAAAACACACCTTATTTTCTATTTTCTAGTCTTTGTTTTACCTGGCTCATGTTAATGTGTGTTTTTTCATCATTATCTATGTATTTGTTTGTCTTCTTACGTCTTGTCATGTCATGGCTGCACAGCAAGAGGGTCCTGGGTCTGATTCCTGGCCCAGACGGGGACTTTCTATGTGCATGTTCTTCCCGTTTCCTGCGGGTGCTCCGGTTCCCCTACCACTAAACACATGTACAATAGGTATGAATTACAATGAGTGAGTGTAGCGATGGTTATAGGTCAGAGGTGTCTTGCTTCTGACATTGGCGTGTGTGGAGTGAATGGAAAAAGACACTGGACAACCATTCTTCAAGAAGCAGTAATCATAATTTAGATCTCACAGTTGGTGATGGACGCTATTGCATGTCGTTCCTGCAATTGTAGCACTAGAGTGAATATGGCTTCTTAAAATGTGAAACCAAGGCCATTTGTTTTGACCCAGTGTCACACTATCCATCACCATTATACAGACTGTGGCTATACAGACTGTCATCACCATTATACAGACTGGCTATACAGACTGTCATCACCATTATACAGACTGTGGTCATACAGACTGTCAATCACCATTATACAGACTGTGGCTATACAGACTGTCATCACCATTATACAGACTGTGGTCATACAGACTGTCAATCACCATTATACAGACTGTGGCTATACAGACTGTCCATCACCATTATACAGACTGTCCATCACCATTATACAGACTGTGTTCTCTTTTCAGAGCTCATCCAGACAGAGCTGCACCACATGCGTACTCTGAGGATTCTGGAGCGTGTGTACCGCCAGAGTCTGCAGGACGAGCTGCACTTGGAGGCCAGCACGGTTGAGGCCCTGTTCCCCCAGCTGGAGCACCTGTGCCACATTCACGGGCGCTTCCTGACACAGCTCCTCCAGAGACGCACTGAAAGCATGGAACCAGGCTCATCCCGGAACTTCACCATCCAGCGCATCGGAGACGTGCTACTAGAGCAGGTTAGCACACGGCTCTCAAACGCATATTCACCAAGATTACATGAACTTTTAGTGTTACAACATTGATCCTCATCAAAACATGGAGATGTTTTTTATTCTCATCCACTCTAATATCAAGAACGTCTGTCACTCCCTTGTATCCAAATCTCCACATTCAAGTTACACTATGATAATCTTCATTGACGGACAGCCCTTGGGCGGGCTCCGCTTGAAAGGACAGTGTGAGCTTGCCTTACTGTGGACTCACCATCCACGGAGGGGGTGACATGGTGTCAAGTGCAGAGAGGAATGAGTGGTGGTCAAAGGCAGGGGTCCTGGACAACCCCTGTCCACAAACACAGCATCTGGCTGTGGAAGGAGCCTGAGCTTGCAGAGGAAGTTGAGAGATAGCAACTCGACCTCACCTCCACACACAGGTTGGGTTCTGGAGCCCAACTCCTCCAGAGGGGTAGAACCCCACCACTCCAGGTAGGTGTTTTTCCCCTACCTCTTTCCCTTTGGCTGGGAGTCAAGTCTGTTATGTTGTTTGGCCTACAAACCAAACAGCAGAGCAGAGAACATGGTCTTCTGGGAGTCCCTGGGAGGGGTACTGGAGAGTACGCCGACCAGGGACTCCCTTATTCTCCTGGGTGACCTCAACGCCCATATAGGAAATGAAAGCAACACCTGGAGAGAGTGGTCCCCTTGATTGTTTCATCCCCTCCCTTTGGAAATCTTCCATCATCTGCCCAGTGGCAAAGAATAGCAATCCAACCATCAACAACTATTGGCCTGTAGCTTTGACATCACTGGTCATGAAGAGATTTGATCTGATGAGTGTCTGTTCATGTATGTATGTACTTTATTTGAACAGGGACAGTGTACAGTTAAGCATTAACACTAAAGGAGAGATGCATGTACCAGGTTATAGCAAAGATGCTAATTTCCACTTGTAGTCCCTGGGCAGGCTGGTGTTATGTTCATTTAAACTGATTTCAATGTAGATGGATACATGACTGTGTCTTACATTTACAGGCTTTAAATAACAATTCACAAAAACATTAAGTTTAATAACAATACTGTAAATAAAGTTCCCCAATTGGTCATACAATTACCATTAAAATATCTGAATCTCACCTGACCCATTGTGGTTTTGTGAGTTTCCCACAGTTGGGAATCACAGGTTACAGAACAGTCAGGCCTGTATACACAGAGAGAAGGCCAAGCAATTTGCAAATATGGCCCACTCTGGATTTAAGGTTCAATACTTTTATACAGCAAGTTCAAACCCCCGGCCGGTCGTGAGCAGTGGAACTTTACAACGCGACACGCGGGACACCCCCCAGTTTAACCACTTCCTCAGCAACATCCTCCACAGGCCACAGGAAAACCAGAGAAGAATGCACCAATATGATTCTTCATAGGACAGTAGCAGTGAAAGTGGAAACTACATCTACAGCATCACGTGGTTTCGTTTGGACGGACGCAGAGGCAGAATTACTCCTCTAGAAGCCAAATTAGCACAAGTTGATCCGCCAATGTTCTTTATATATATATTTTTTTCTGTTTGTACTGTGGGAGGGGAGTGGTGAGGTCATCGCAGCCAGAGAGTTAGTCCCCTTATTGTTCACACGGCTGCTACATGATTCTAAAGCTACGTTTCTCTGAGTAACAACCATATCATTCAAATGTTTGAACCCAAAAACAAAATTCTATCAGTTCCTCTCTCTCTATATATATATACAGTGTACATGGTCCAGATTTGATATGAAGAAAAAGTAATTTGTCAAAATACCTTCACAATGTAAAATATAATTATTTAAACTTTTGGCCCCCAAGCAGATCTTATCTTTTAAATTTGCTCCTGACTAAAATCAGTTTTTTCACTTTATTACTGCATCCAAACATTTGAAAGATTTGTTAAGTGATAGATTCAATCTAATTTTTCAGAAACAGCACCTTGAACGACCAGGGTCTGAGCTTCCCTTTGTCCCTCACAGTACCTGAAAGGTCTGGGTAGCACCCTTTTCTCATTTGTTACCCCACTCTGACAACATGGAGTAGAAAAAATGAGGTCTTCAGGTGCCCTCAGTTGTACTCCTTTGCGACTGGGTCTCACGTGCCACCTGCTGACTGAGATAGCTCACTACAATTAACAATGTGCTAATTATATAATTTATAGTATATAGAAGGATTTTTTACCTCTGGGTGGATCATCCATTGGTCCTCCCAATTGTCAGTTGTTCTGGTGATACGTGCTCCTCAATTAAAACCAGACAGTTTTGTTCAAAAAGTGAAGTGGGCGGTTCTTTCCAGAAATTTGGGGAAATCCTCCTAGGTACAGTATGAAGATTTTCCCAAATTTTAGGAAAGAAAATTGAATTTAACAATTAATTCAACTCATAAAATGTATCATGCATTCATTTAGCATTTAATGTTTTCAAGCACTACACATTTTTTTACTCCACACACAGTGATTGTAAGCTGCCAGTGTAGCCCAGCTGCCACAGGGCAGACTGACAGAAATGAGACCCTCATCAATCACTCACAAAGCAGTCATGCGCTGTCTATATACAGTAAGACAAAAAGTATTTAGTCAGCCACCAATTTTGCAAGTTCACTCACTTAAAAAGTTGAAGGAGGCCTGTAATTTTCATCATAGGTATACCTCAACTTTGTTTGGAAACCCGTTTCCGGCATTTAAAAAAAAAAAAAAAAACCCTACAGAAAGTACAGAAAGTCATTTAAAACTGGAAAGTTTAAAAGTTAAAATTACAAGTTTAAAACTTGAGTTTAAATCTCAAAGTTATAATTTTGAGATTTAAAGTCGTAATTTTGAGTTTTAAACTGTGTATGTGCAGTTTCTGCCGCAACAAAAGTAGAATATATGAATAATAAAATAGATACTATTAATACCGATGGTATTGGCTTCCATAAGATAAATCACTAAGATTTCTTGTAAATATGTGATAATCGTTCAAGCTCTAGGTAGTGACGGTAAACAAACTTCTTCCGACTTGAAATTTTATACCTTGTACAAACATGTATGTTCCCTCCTTCCAGTAAATTATAACACAGTGGCACCAAGTGGATGAACTAGATAACCGCAAGTAAAACAGCTCACGGTTTACACATAACTAGGGACAAACTGTTAATATTAATCTGAAATGAAGTGTAGCTAAATAAAATGAATATAAACGTACTGCGCTGTTAGCTAGCGTTACCTTTACAAATGATAGCTCCACAAATGTAAACATGGATGCATGTATTATTTCTTTCCTGTACACAGATCAGTTGGTCCCTTTTCAGAATAATAGCCCTAAAGCATGATGTTTCCACCCCCATGCTTAACAGTAGGTTTATTGGGTTGCAACTCTCCTCCAAACATGACGAGTTTTGTTACCAAAAAGTTCTATTTTGGTTTCATCTGACCATATGACATTCTCCCAATCCTTCTTTGGATCATCCAAATGCTCCCTAGCAAACTTCAGACGAGCCTGGACATGTACCAGCTAAAGCAGGATTTGACTCTCTGGCGGCATAGTGTGTTACTGATGGTAGCCTTTGTTACAATACAATACAATACAATACAATTTATTCTTGTATAGCCTTAAATCACAACAGCAGTCATCTCAAAGGACTTAACAAAACCATTGAAATCACCAACACAGATCAGAAAATCAACAGTTAAGACACAGAAAATACACATATGTATTTTTACTTTGGTCCCAGCTCTCTGCAGGTCATTCACCAGGTCCCCCCGTGTGGTTCTGGGATTTTTGATCACCATTCTTGACCATTTTGACCCCACGGGATGAGATCTTGCGAGGAGCCCCAGATCGAGGGAGATTTTTAGTGGTTTTTATGTCTTCCATTTTCTCACTAATTGCTCCCACAGTTGATTTCTTCACACCAAGCTGCTTACCTATTGCAGATTCAGTCTTCACAGCCTGGTGCAGGTCTGCAATTTCGTTTCTGGTGTCCTGTGACAGCTCTTAGGTCTTGGTCGTAGTGGAGTTTACAGTGCGACTGTTTGAGGCTGTGGACAGGTGTCTTTCACACTGATAACGAGTTCAAACAGGTGCCATTATTACAGGTAAGAAGTAGAGGACAGAGGAGCCTCTTAAAAAGAGATACAGGTCTGTGAGAGCCAGAAATCCAGTTTGTTTGTAGGTGACCAAATAAACTATTTAAAAATCAGCCAATGTGATTTTCTGGATTTTTACCGGGGGTTTGAAAAAAAAGAAACTCTAAAAAAATCCCAAAAAGAGAAAAGTACATTGCTTTCTTCAAGGAGTGAACATTAAAGGATTAATAATGTGGATATGTAGAAGAGGTTGATTCCTTCAAGTATATAAAACCAAAAAGTTTAAAAACAACTTTTCCTGTGACAGTTCTCTGGCCAGCCTGCAGAGGACATGAGAAAAACCTACGCTGAGTTCTGCACTCGTCACCTAAAGGCTGTGAAGGTGTACAAGGAGACGCTGAGCAAGGACAAGAGGGTGCAGGCTTTCATACAGGTAAGGAGCGAGAGGGGATGGTAATTGTAAGGCTAACAAAGCAAAGACAGGGGTAGTTTAGTTTCACTTCCTTGTCGGTCACCACCAGCTCCACTTCCTCTTCCTCCTGGTCCAAAATACCATGTCTCAGTTCCACAAAGCGTTCATTTTATTATGCCCCTGAGAGTTGAAAACATATTCTGATTGACTTAGCCAGGCATCTCCAGCACAGTTTATGTACATTTATACTCTGCACATCTTCTCCACAGCGCGTCAGCCGCAGCCCGGCCCTCAGGAGACACGGCTACCCGGAGTGTATCCTACTGGTCACTCAGAGAATCTGCAAGTACCCTGTCCTTATGCAACGCATTCTGGACAGCACTGTGGGTGAGCACGCACATGCACACACACTCACACACACATTCATATACACACCCATGTACGCACACGCAAACACACACGCACACACACATTCTTATACACCCTCACATGTTTGCACACGCACACACATGGACACTCACACATAAGCATATGCCTTGTTTGTTACTGCCAAAGTTCACTTGACAAGAAAAGTGTTGTCTTTGTGGAAGGTTTGTTCATATCTTCATCTATCTACCATCTTTGACCTAATGATTAGATTAGTTATTAGATATGTTATAACTTCTTGGTAGTTTTTGTTTGTGTATAGATTATTCGGATTAAGAATTTCAGGCGAGCAGTAGGAGGAAAGCCATTGCTGCCACGAATGGCAACACAAGCATTATTTTGTCGAAAAGTACATCTGTCGCTGTTCATGAAGTAAAGGATGACACAAGGATTTGGGGTTGGAATGGCGGCATTCCTGCCCAAATTCCAATGTAGGCCAGTGTTCTGTCACAGGTTAAAAAGCAGGTTTCTTCGGACCCGGGTTTAAAAAAGACCGCTGGATTAAAAGCGAATTACAAATTATTTATTATAAAATAAATGAAAAAGCAATAAAAACATTAAAATCCTAGGATATAAAAACACGGATTAAAAAGGTAAAACAGAGGCTAAAATGCTTCCCCTGGCCACGGCCTCAGCCGCCAGACCACGGGGCTCTCCCCTCGCCGTGTCTGGCAGCTGGCCCACGTCTCATCCAGCTTCCCCCGGTCCACCCCCTCCCCATCTCCTTTTGTACGCCTGGCACAGGTGTTCTAATTGTCACGTGGGGAGCCGGGGTGCTTCAGGTGGTGCAAGTTAAAATCAATATTAAAAACACACAAACACAACATGCATAAAATATAAATAAAACCGTATTAAAACCCACCACTCTTGCTGCTCCTCGCTTGCTGCTTTTTTATCTCCTTTAATCATTTTTATTTACATTTTTATTCCACAAAACACGGATTACTCCTTTTTACAAACTTCAACACAAGACTTGTGGAATTTACCTAACTTACAGCATATCAGGAGGACGGGAAAAAAGAACAAAACTTTGCGACGGCTGTTTTTCACTCAAACAGGAGCTAAAACTTCTTCAAGACCGAATGTTTGTGCTTGAATCAGAATTGGAGCTGAACACAACAATACCAGTGAAAGGAAATGGACCACATGGACAGAACGTAAGTTATGATGACGCTATTTCATTTCCCAAAATCAACAGAGACAATTGTTGGAACACATATGGTGCCAAGCCCAAACAAGGCAAAGCTAATGATAACAAGAGTGTCATAATGCCACAGCAAAAATCTTTAATTACAAGAAACCGCTTTTCACCACTTTTGGAAGATGAATCAGCAGTAGCCTCTCAGTCCCAGTCTCAGTCTCAGTCAAGGTCAAATGCAGCTGAGTCGCTCTTTATCGGGGATTCTGCGATAAGACATGTAAACATGCGTAATCTCAAGGTTCACTCAGTACACTCTGCCAAAGTGGATGAGATAAGGCGGTTGGCTCCGAGTCTTCTGTCTGAGAGCGGCCGGGTAAAAAGATTGTTGATCCACGTGGGGGCAGTAGACGTCTATGACAACACAAGTGAAAAGTTGAAACGGGATTACTCTCTCTTATTGGACGACCTTGCTAAAATGGACGCAACAATCGTTATCAGTGGCCCACTACCAAATGTGGACGGGAAGCAAATGAAATTCAGTCGTCTGTATCAGCTAAATACTTTCCTACTCAACGAATGTTCACGCAGAGGACTTGCCTTCATTGAGAATTTTAATCTGTTCTGGAATAGGCATGAGCTTTTTGAAGGGAAAGGGCCACATCTGAACACTTACGGAGTAAAAGTGTTGATGGATAACCTTTCTTTTGCCCTGAGACCTCAGCCTGCGCAGCGCGTGCAGCCATCGAAAGGGAGGAAGCCGACTCTAAAAGTCTCTGCACCTCCACCACCTCGAAGGATCTCAACACCACCACCACCTCGAAGGATCTCAACACCATCACCGCCTCAAAGGATCTCAACACCATCACCAGCAGCAGCTGCATCACCACCAGCAGCAGCTGCATCATCACCAGCAGCAGCTGCATCACCACCAGCACCAGCAGCACGACCACCACCACCAACATCCTCATCCCCAGCCTGCTCCAAAGCAGCCACGCCTTCTTCATCTACAGCGCCTCTGAAGCCCCCATCCTCACCCCAGCCTACAGCAGACAGGCCTGTGCTGGGGTTTCCTCAACCACCTGCCCCTCCATCAAAGACTCCCTCGCCACCTCCCATGGACCTGTCTTGGGTCCCCCCTGCCACGTCCACTCCATCAAGAGAGAATGGGGACACCTCCCTTTGTTTTTCATCCCCGCCTTCACTGTTAGACCTACCTGAACACTCTGCAGGGCTAATAAAATCGGCGATGAAGACTATTCCTCTCACACCCATATTAGCTAGATCTAGAGTCCTGTCCAACATTCTAAACCACTCGCCATATGTACCTCCAAAACCACCTAGGGTTTCCAATTCACCTACAAAAACCACCTCAGCCAGTCCCTCCCCTAACCTCATGACCATTCCACCCCCACTTCCCCCTCGTTCAACACCCAAAACCTCTGCCTCAGCCCACCCCGGCCCTAACCCATCACCAAAAACCCCTCCACCTCCCTGCCCCCCTCGTTCAACACCCAAAAGCCACCCACTTCTCCATCCTCCTCCCCCGCCTTCCCCTTCCCCTCTTTTCTCTAAACACTAGGATGCACAGGGTCTCTGCTTCGCAGCCACTGGCAGTCTAGTTAGAGGAGAGACCCGGCTGGGGCCCTGTCATGAAGCCACCTGTGCCATTCCCTTAGTGATAACACAAAGAATACATTACAGAAAAACATCTGGAGTTAATCAGTCTAATCTGGAAAATCTAATTCTTGTTCCGTGTAAGAATCAGCCGACCGCAACCGCTGATACTGAAACTTTGAAACTTGCTACGCTTAATGTCAGATCTCTTTGTAACAAGTCTTTTTTAATCAATAATTTTATTTGTTCTCATAATCTTGATCTTATGTTCATGGCTGAAACTTGGCTTGACCAAAATTCAGGAAATGCAGTTTTAATAGAAGCATCACCACGAAATTTCAAATTTGAATCTGAAATACGGGAAAACAAAAAAGGAGGAGGCTTAGCTGCCATTTTTAGAGACCACTTTGTCTCCCATAGAATGTCTCTTGGGAAGTTTTCGTCATTTGAATATGTGTCTTTTAAAATACAACAAAAACAATCTCCTCCAATACTCTTCATTGTCCTATACAAGCCACCGCAGTCATGTCACAGTTTTATTGATAATTTTACCGAGTTGCTTTCAGTTGTATGCACAGACTTTGATAGTTTGGTTATTACAGGTGATTTTAATATTCATGTGGATAATATTGATGACAGAAATGCAAATGAGCTGAGTTCTGTTCTTGAATCCTTTGATCTCACTCAGCACGTAAGTGGCCCCACCCACAGCAGAGGGCACACTCTAGATCTGTTAGTTACTAAGGGGGTGAATATTTCAAATGTAAACGTGGTCGATGTTGCTCTTTCGGATCATTTCTGTGTTTTTTTTGACATGTGTTTCACTAACAAACCACCAGTGGACTCTGCAACTGTTCAAAGAAGGCGCATAAATGAAAATACGAGTGAACTATTTATGGGAATGATAAACTTTGAGAATGCATCGTATTGAACTGTAGATGAACTGTTTAACTCTGTCACCTCTAGTGTTTTGAATGTTCTGGATACCGTTGCCCCTGTGAAGGTTAAAATAGTGAAAAATAAGCAGAAGGCGCCGTGGGCTAAAGCAGACTCGGTCAGGGCACAAAAGAGAAAGGGCCGGAGGGCCGAGCGGAAGTGGCGCAAGTCCAACCTCCAGGTTGATTACGAGATCTTCAAAGATAAGTTGTGCAAGTTTAACCGGGTGCTACGTAGTACGAGAGAAAGGTATTTTTCTGAAATGATTGAAGGCTGCAGCAACAATCTGCGTGTTCTGTTCTCAACAGTTAATAGATTAACAAACCCCCTGTCATGTGCTGGGAAGGATGAGGACCCAAAATTGCAGGAATGCCAAAAAAAAGAAATTTAATGATGAATAAAAAAAAGTGCAGATGAAAACAATCTCAAAAATCCAAAAACACAAGCAACCAGGAACAGGGCAGAACAGAACAGACAAAGACATGAACAACACAATGGACCAGCAACATGGGGAGAGGAGCACAGGGTACATATAGACACAGACACAGGTGAAACACATCAGGGCGGGGCAGACAATCAAGACAGGAAGTACAACTAAAACCAAAACCACAGAACAATGTCAAAATAAAACAAAAATACAAAAATAAAACCCACACTATGACAGTACCCCCCCTCCAAGGGACAGCTCCCAGATGTCCCAAAAAAAAAACACAAAAAAAACCAAACACAAACCAAGGAGGGTGGAGGGGGCACGGCGGAGGGACCAAAGGCTGTTCAGAGGCTGAAAACCTCAGGTCCGAAGCAATGTCCAAACCAATCTGGGACCGGAGCTGAAGCCCAGTGATGACCTTCCATACGGAACTGGCTCACCCCGGGCGGAGACAAATGCCCAGCGGTGACACAAACGGGAACAAAACCACCCCAGACGGAGAACAATGTCTGGCGGTGGAAACAGGTAAAGGGAACGAGAGGTCATCAAAGGGGAGCAGGCAGACACTGGTGGGGAATCCAGGCAGACGGGAACATCCAGACGAGAGCTTCACTGTTGATACCACAAAAAGCCAAGGGGAAGGGAACAGAAGACCACCCCGGACGGACAATAATGCCCGGCGGTGGTGCAGGACAAATAACCACCCCAGGCGGAGTTCCTTGCCTGGCAGTGGTTCAAGGTAGCAGGTCGAGAGGTAGCAGTGAAGGGAAGGATGTCCGCAAAAAATAAATAAAAACCTGGTGACAAACAGGGAGCCGGTGTGGTGAAAAAATAAAAAGG